TCTGGTTACTAGACCATGGTACTAACTGCTACATCCAGTCTCATCTTAAAAAACCCCAGGGACGGTGAATCCAACACCTCCCGGGCAGCACATTCCAATGCCTGATTACCCTCTCTGTAAAAACTTTTTTCCTAATATTCAACCTAAACCTCCCCTGGCAGAGTTTAAGACCATACCCTCTTGTCCTACTGCTGGTTGCCTGGAAGAAGAGACTAATCCCCACCTGGCTACAACCTCCTTTCAGGTAGTTGTAGAGAGTGATGAGGTCACCCCTGAGCCTCCTCTTCTCCAGGCTAAACAACCCCATCTCTCTCAGCCTCTCCTCATAGGACTTGTGCTCAAGTCCCTTCACCAACCTGGTTGCTCTTCTCTGGACCTGCTCCAGCACCTCAAAATCCTTCCTGAAGATAACAGAAGGGAAGTAGAAATTGGTAGAAGGAGAGACAATCACGAGAAGCTATGGGATGATGCATTGACTGTGGGATGGGAAGAACTGGAATGAATGAATGAAGTATTAAAAATATATGAAGAATATGGGGGATATTTAATAGGTCCTGCTCTAGTATGAGAAGGGGGAGTTTATTTGTCTATATTAAAAGTCATTACATTTGGAAAAATAAGATAAAATTGATGACTTACAATTAACTTTTATCGCAGGATGCACAGAGTAGTTGGTTATAGCTTGAATGAAGATTGCTTTCCATTAAATAGATATCCTGTAGCATTTTCATGTTGGCCTCACTGTTTGCTGAAATTGCAGCTTAAATGCTTCTCATTGAAATGAATTCCAAAGAGATCATTAAGCCTATCAAAGAAGCAAAGAAATTATGAGTATATTCTTAAAGTTGCATCATAGAGGTAGGTGAGGAGATGAGGTGTTTCTTTTGGAAAATGTTTAAGTAGCATCTTTTAACTATCAGATCTGAACCTCACCAATGTAGGTGAATAATTCTTATTAGAGTAGTCACAATACAGTCAGCGTGTAAAATCTAGCCTTCAGAATACCAGCTTTTAAATTAAAATACTGAATTAAAAATTACTCAGATACATTTTTAAAACTTCTCCTTTGGCAATTTTTAAAGTCCATGCGGAAGTCTGCATTTGGTTTAAAAGAATTGCAGGTCCTTTCCTACACATGCCAATAAAAGCCACCAGAATGAAGTGTTTATGCTATACAACAAGGGCAACTCTTCATAGTTCTGTATAGAACATAGTTCTATAGAATCAAATAAAACATTCACTCAGAAGCTCTTCATTTCATCCCAATAGAATAGGGAAGATTTTTAAGTGTCAGAGGACAGGAATCTCTTTCCAATTTAGATCTAATAGAAATTACGGTGGCATTTCAAGTTCAAAGACAGTCAATTACTGACTGAAATAAACAGTAGTTCTCCCGAGATATCTTTTTTCAACATAAATATGACTCGACTTGACTAACTTATAGAAAACATTTTGTTTTGTTTTGAAAAAAATGTAACTTGGTTTGGTTTCATATGCAATTACTTTGAATTTTAATGCAACAATTTTTTATATAGTTTTACATGTATTTTCATGAAGCTTTTTGTTTACACTGCCTGGGTTACATGATTTTCCATGCAGTTGTGGGACAAGAACATCCTTGGTAGTGATGCCGAAAAACCTTGGAATGTGCTCAGAGACTTTTTTTATCTTTAAGCAGCAAGGTATTTATTCAACATTGGGAGCAAGCCAGCTTGCGCTGGACAAACTTGCTCAAAAGCACCAATGCAAAAACAGGGTAATTTATACAGTCTAAATTTATTATTACAACATAGATATTCATATGATTACAACATCTAATCATGTATATTGATAATAGGTGGAGTCTGGGCAGAACTTAGGGCGGTGCTTTCCAGATTCTTCTCTTGGTAGTGGTCATTCCGGCCTTCAACCTCAAATCGGGGGTCTATTTATCTTCTTCTTCACTTTGACCTCTCTACCTCCCCACTGTTGGCGTCCCAGTTACTGAAGCTTGCAAAAACCCTTGACTCCAGGCCTATTTCTCCTATTCAAATGTCTACCTTGTCTTAATTTATGGCCTCTAGGTTGATTGTATAGCGTTTCTAGTATTCTTTTTAAGTTTAGGTCCAGTAAACAGAACAGAATGAGTTTAGAAGGTTTCCTTAGCAGCACAGGCAGAGCAGGTGTTGGGGTATTTTTCTCAACAGAGCAAGATACCTCAGTTACCTCTTTTAGGCCTTGCTCTCATTTCCGTAGCCATCATCCCGAAACGTTAAACTAATGTTTTTCATTTGCATTATAGGCTATTCTGTCTGCTGGTTAAAGGCCATCAAATTTCACCTCCTTTCTCAGAAAAAAACCCACCTTTTTGCGTACCAGGTGAAAAACTTTCAATGTGCCTGTCATGATCTCCAGGGGGACTTTCAGTTGTTTCGATCACTGAAGGTTTTCCAGAAGTCTTACTATCAGCATGCATTCAGTTCTTGGGCTTGTCTGAGTTAGCACTACCATTATACTTCCATTCTAGAAGACAGTGTCTTTATTTTATAAACCATTACTTTCTATGCTTTCTCAGGAGCCTTTCCCAGTACTCATCTTGCATTATTTAAAAAAAAAGTTTCCTTCACACTTATCTCCTGCACCAGAACCCCTTAATGTGTCCAGGAGTATCTAATCACTTTCATTATTTGTATATGAGATTTAATAATCTCCATATGATTTTTTTTTTTTTGCAACACTGCTAAAAACCTTACAGACTGAAGTAAGAGAATCTGTTAATCTGCTGTATTAGAGATAAGAAGCTGTTTAAATGTTGAAACCAAATTCTAGCTGTGGTACAAGCAGACAAACATGCCTGAACACAGTAGTAGTCAGAAAAGTATTGAATATATGAAAGTATAAATAATGTACAAATATTTTAACTCGCATTTTTGACTGAAATTGTATAATTCTCCTATTATTAATTATACTCTGTTTTAGTGATGCAACAGTATAGGTCGCTCCCAGTAAACAATAATGACAATTTGGAAAATGCATTTTTATGTGTGGTGGGTTAACCTTGGCTGGATGGCAGGTACTGTCTCAGTTTAAATGAGACACAGGTGTTTTGTTGAGGATGAGTTACAAGGAAGACCCAAACTCCTCCCTATAAGCAATTGGAAATTCGAAATTAAGAGGCTCCAATTAAGGGGGGGAAAAAGTGTGGAAAAAGGAAAAATAACAGCCCTTTATTTAAAGATATATGTGTATTGGCAGAAACAATGAAAGAAAACAAGTAAAACAACCAAACAATACTCCTATACCCACAAATAATCCCCTTCAAAACAAACCAATAAACAAGTAAAGAAAAAAAATGTAAACAGTTCAGTTTGTGCCCTTTGGTGCAATTCTAACCACAGTCAACAGGGGGCGCTGTTGTATCACCAGAGATACAGAGTTTGTAGTGTCCTGTGCCAGTCATCAGGGGGCACTGTGGAATCACTGGTCATTGCCACATGGGGAGACACCCTCCTGGGTGTATTGGAGAAACCAAAAATGGGGTTCCCTCCCCCCCCACACTGGGAAAGGGGAGAGAGAGGAGGGAGAGAAACAACAAAAAGAAGTCCTCCCCGATGGGAACTCAGTCTGTCCTGCTGGCTGAATTGTGCGGTATACTTTTTCCCTCTCCCTTTGATGTGCACAAGAACTGCTGCCAAGAAAGAAACAAATGGGAACGGGGAAGGGGAAAACCTCCCAAACAGTTCCTCTCTGATGAAAATCCAAGTAGAATACACAGCTGACAGCCAGGCTGAGAACAAAACCGAGTTCCTACTCCGACCTTGTTCCAGCTTCAGTAGCTACGTGAACTCCTCTCACCCCTTTCCCAGGAAACGAGAGGAAAAAAAAAGTAAAAAGGAACTCCTCACCCTTCCCCATAAACAATATTCTGAGGGCCATTAACTAGGAATGTGGCCTTACCAGCAGCTTCTTCTGTGTTACTTAACTGCACATTTAACACCCCCTCCACGCAGTGGGCAGGGGGGAGGGAAAAATTCCTGCTTAGTTTCTAAGAACCAGTAAAACCATGACACAAGTGCAGGAAAACTGTGGCCTGCACTCTGTTGCCAGAGGGGTTGAGAACAATGCATTACAGGTATCAATTGTAGCATCACTTGGCTGCCTTAGACTCCAGTTCATATTGAAGTACCAACATGTCCGGTATGGAAGCACTCAGAGTCAGTGTGACTTCATTCAGGCCATGATAGTCTACTGTCAGCCTCCATTCTCCACTGGACTTTCACACTGTCCCTATGGGGCTGTTAAAAGGGTGAGTGGGTGCTGTTGATCACTCCTTGGCTCTCCAGTTGGCCAATGAGCTTATGGATGGGAATTATGGAGTCTTGGTTGGTGCAATATTACCACCAGTGCACTGTTCTGGTGGCAACTGGCACTTGTTGGTCCTCAACTTGCAGCAATTTCACAATGAAAAGATCTTCTGAGAGGCCAGGCAGGATAGATAATTGTTTGATCTTCATTGTATTCATGGTAGCTACACCAAAAGCTCATGAATACTCCTTTGGATCTTTGAAGTATCCCCTCCTGAGGTCGTCAATGCCAAGGATACAAGGGGCCTATGGACCAGTCACAATGGGATGCTTTTCCCACTTGTCCACTGTTAACTTTACTTCAGCCTGTATTATAGACAACTCCTGGCTTCCCCCTTGTCACTCCAGAGATCCAGACGGGTTCTGCACTCTTATGTCTTAAAAGCATCAGTGTGCACTGTGCACCAATATCTACTAAAGTTCTATATATCCGTGGATCTGATGTGCCAGCCCATTGAATCCACACAATCCAGTAGACCTGATCATCCCTTTACTCCTCCTGGTCGAAGGCAGGGACCCTCAATTCCTGTTCCTGGTCAGAGTATTTGCCGTCTGACCTTTGTGATGTCAGACCACAAGTCTCCTCACCAGGATCAAAGGAAGTGATTTCAGTCCTCTTATGTCTTGGAGATCACTGATGGACTTGTGTCTCTGCAGCAACTACAGTGACAGCCTTCCTGGATGACCCCTTCTTAACAGCTCTTTTCCCTCTCAGTTCACGTACATGGACTTCCAGCTTGAAGGTGAGTTCACCATCCCACTTCCTCATGTCTTCCCCTTGGTCATGCAGAAAGAACCAGAGTTCACCACATGGCCTGTGCTTGGGGTTTCCTTTCCCTCTGACTGGGGAAGGAGGGGACGGATCTCTTGGGCTGCCCCTGAGAGCCGAGGTGCTGGCCTGTGGGGATGTGGAAGTACCCAGAGTTTCTTCTATGTTTCAAAGCCAGGAGGACATCACTTCTTCAATTGGAGTATCCATTTGCGGGTAATACATTGCTATCAGGCTGTTGGAATATGATGTAAGGGTGCTTTGAACCACCTTCCTCCACATAACCATTGTGCAAGGGACGTCTTTTGGATCCGTAGGGACGTTATCACTTCTTAGATTACTAAAAATGATATCTGACACTGTGGGGAAGGGAGGGGAGGGTGAGGGGGAGGGGGAGGAGAGGGGAAAAGAGGGGAGGGGAGGAGGGAGGGGAGGGAGGGGGAGGAGAGAGAGGAGGGGAGGGGAGGGGAGGGGAGGAGAGGAGAGGGGAGGGGAGGAGATGAGAGGAGAGAGGGAGGGGAGAGGGGAGGGGACAGGGACAGGACAAAAGAGGAGAGAGGGGGAGGACGGGAGGGGAGGGAAGAGAGGAGAGAACTCCTCACCCCTCCCCACAGACTTCGATGGCCATCAGTCTGGAGTCCCTGGCCAGTTCTTTTCTGTTAGTCAGTTACCCAAGGCAAGACCAACCTGCCCATTCAACATCCCTCCCACACAGTGGGGCAGGGGGGAAGGAAAAAATTCCCTGCTCAGTTCCTTTTTTTTCATTAGAACAAGCAAACCTGTGACAGCAATATTCCAGGCCACATTCCAGGAAGCAGGGCTTTTAGCATGCGTGACAGTTTCTCAGCAGGCAACCATTGTAAACAACTACCCCTTTGGTTAGTTTGGGTCAGCTGGACTACTTGGGTCCCCTCCCAGGATCTTGCCCTTGATTGGGGAAGGAATGTTACAGTATTGATGCTGTGCTCAGCAGTAGCCAAAATACTGGTGTGTTCTCAACACCTTTCTAGCTACCAATGCAAAGCACAGCACTGTGAGGTCTACTATGGGGAAATGAACTCCATCTCAACCAGACCCAGTACAATGCCTCATTACCTAAGGCTCTTAACATAGTCTTCAGCAGCCCATTATACCTCTCAATCTTCCCAGAGGCTTGTGGGTGATAAAGGATGTGATATATCCACTCAGTGCCATGTTTCTTTGCCCAAGAGTTGATGAGGTTATTTCGAAAGTGAGTCCCATTGTCTGATTCAATTCTCTCTGGGGTACCACGTTGCCAAAGAATGTGCCCCTCAAGGCCTAAGATGGTGTTCCGAGCAGTGGCCTGGTTTGCAGGGTATGTTTCCAGCCAGCCAGTCGTTGCCTCCACCATGGTGAGTATGTAGCTCTTGCCTTGGCGTGTTCATGGCAGTGGTCCAATGTAGTCAATTTGTCAGGCCTCACAATATTGGAAATCCAGCCACCGCCCTCTGCTGAAAGGGGATTTTACTCACATGGGCCTGCTTGACTGCAGCACACATTTCACATTTGTGAATAACCTGTGTGATGGCCTCCATGGCCAGTTCCACCCCTTGATCACGAGCCCATCTGTATGTCACATCTCCTCTTAGATGTCCTGATGTTTCATGGGCCCATCGGGCTATAAATTCCGCTCCCAGTCTAAGTCTACCTGAGCTCTTCCCATCTCGGCAGCCTTATCCACCTGCTCATTGTTCTGATGTTCTTCAGTGGTGCAACTTTTGGGCATGTGAGCATCTACATGACGCACCTTCAGCACCTTCTACCCATGCAGCGATGTCCTGCCACAATGCAGCAGTCCAGATGGGTTTACCCCTGAATTGCCAATTGGTCTTCTTCAATTGCTTGACCCACCCCCACAGGGCTTTAGCCACCACTCAGGAGTCAGTATAGAGATACAGTACAGGCCACTTTTCTCATTCAGCAATCTTTAGGGCCACTTGGATGGCTTTCACTTCTGCAAATTGACTTGACTCGCCCTCTTCTTCAGCAACCTCAACGACTCGTTGTGTGGGACTCCACACAGCAGCTTTCCACCTCCAATGGTTTCCTACCACATGGCAGGATCCATCAGTAAATAGAGCATAGCCTCTTTCATTTTCTGGTAACTCGTTATATGGTGGTGCTTCTTGGGCACAAGTCACCTTCTCAGGCAATGTTCCAAAATCTCTGCCTTCTGGCCAGTCCATAATCTCTTCCAGGATTCCTGGGTTTCCCCATTTGGGACCGTTGTGTAATCAACGCTACCCACTTACTCCATGTAGCACCAGTTGTGTGATGTATTGAGGGGGTGTTCCCTTTGAACATCCAGTGCACCACGGGCAATCGCGGTGCCAAGAGGAGACATACTTCTGTCCCAAAGACTTCTGAGGAGGCTCGGACCCCCTCATAGGCTGCTAATATCTCCTTTTCAATTGGAGTGTAGTGGGCTTCTGATTTTCAATAACCCTGGCTCCAAAACCCTAACTGTCGACTTCGGCTTTCTCCTGATGTTCTTTGCCAGAGGCTCCAGGTGAGACCATGCTCCCCAGCTGCAGTGTAGAGGATAGTTTGCACGGTTGGTCCTGTCCAAACAGGCCCAAGAGCTACTGCATGAGCTGTTTCCTGTTTGATCTGCTCAAAGGCCTGTTGTTGCTCAAGGCCCCACTCACAATGGTTCTTCTTCTGGGTCACTCGATAGAGGGGGCTCACAAGCTGACTAAAACCTGGAATGTGCATCCTCCAGAATCCCACAAGGCCTAGGAAAGCTTGTGTTTCTTTCTTGCTAGCTGGTGGAGACATAGTTGCTATTTTGTTAACCACATCCGAAGGCACGTGACAGCATCCATCCTGCCATTTTACTCCCTGCAATGGTTTGGACCTGGCTCCCAGGTAAATGCCCAAGCCTACAGTTGCAGTCTCCCCCCCCTTCCCCCATGAACACAAGGGAAGAGAGGGAGAAGGAAAAAAAAATCAAAAGCACCGAAATGACAAAAACAAAGCAGTGTGTATATATATATTATTTACATCTATATACAATTACAAAGAGATTATATACATATAAACAGATTATATACATATAAACAAAGAGTCCCAACTCCCCAAAACTAAATCAGAGAATTAAAACCAATATACGCAGATATACACAGTTAATACAGAACTTGCAAACAAAAGAACAAAATACTTTCCTTAAAAAAAACGAAAGCCACTTCACCAGACCCCTCGACACAGACCGGGAAAAACAGCAGGCCTCACTCCCAGATAAGCGAGAGCCGGCCGCAGAATCCTGCTATCTTCAAGTCCGACGGAAGAGAAGAGAGAGACACCCTCCTCTATCCTTCTTATTTATACTCTTGCTTACGTAAAAAACAGGATGGAATACCTGGGATATGAGACTTCCTTAGTTACGACTTGGTATCCAGGAAGAGGCAAACGTGGGGCCTAAAATCCAAACCACTACACTCCCAAGAATTGGATCTCCCATGCAGGTCCCTTTACCTTACTTTGGTTTATGGCAAAAAAGATTTATTCTCTACTTCCCATCAGCAAGCAATGTCCAGCCACTTCCTGGGAATCAGGGCTTCAGCACACGTAGTAGTTGCTCCGGAAGACAAACACTGTAAATAACAAATGCCCCCACCTTTGTCCTCCTTTCCTTAGCTTTTATATCTGAGCTGACGTCATATGGTCTGGAATATCCCTTTGGTTAGATTGGGTCAGCTGGCGCCTACTTGTGTCCCCTCCCAGGATCTTGCCCACCCCCAACCTAATGATGGGGGAATGTTGAGATACACTATCATTTCATGTTCGCTATGCCAAAGACGGCCTCCAACCATCACATCACCCACAAGTCCTTCTCTAATTGTAAATGACAGGTCCAGCAGGGCACTTTCCCTAGTTGGCTCACTCACCAACTGGGTCAGGAACTTCTCTTCCACACACTCCAGGAACCTCCTAGACTGTTTCCTCTCAGCCATAATGTATTTCCAGCAGACATCTGGCAAGTTGAAGTACCCCAGGAGAACAAGGGCTAGTGATGATCGATGATCGTGAGACTTCTCCCAGTTGCTTATTGAATATTTTGTCTGCCTCTTCATCCTGGTTGGGTGATCTATAACTGACTTTCACCAGGATATCTGCCTTGTTGGCCTTTCCCCTGATTCTTATCTATAAACGCTCGACCCTTTCATCACCATCGTCAAGCTCTGGACAGTCAAAACACTCCCTAACACTCCCTTCATTGATGAGATCCCCCCTGAGACTTCTCTTCCCTAGCCTAAACAGTCCCCACTCTCTCAGCCTTTCCTCATAGCAGACATGCTTCAGTCCTCTAATCATCTTAGTGGCCCTGTTTTGCACTGGGAGGTTTTGGTCTGTCATGATTCCAGTAAGAAAGGCACTTAGACTCTGTAAGGTTTCATTTAAAATGTTATTTAACTAATTCTATAAGGAGAGAATAGCAACCCTTTAGATGCTGGGAACCCTGAGCAGTGTAGCATTGAACAGGACTCCAACCCACATGCGGCACGCCATGCAGACCCCATCCATAGCCGAGATTATCCCCTTTTGGTCTTTCAAGCCATTATAGGATTTTCTTATAAGGAAACAACTCTATAATTTCCACTGTCAAAGAGGAAGGATGTTCACATAAGAACTTGAGGTGCTTGTAGATAAAGGCAAAGCTGCACAAGTGGCATAATCAGCAGTACCAACTGGGAGCTGCCTGCAGGATCCTCTGTTACAATGAGCTGGCTGAGTTTATCCTGCTATCCTGTGGCCAAGGGATTTGTGCAGCACAACATAGGCCTGAAGGCCACACTGTATGTGCACCATAGTGCAGTATGGCACACAGCATAGCGCAACTTAAGTATTCCTTGACCTGATCCTTTTCCACCAAGGGTAATTCTTCCTTGCTCCAGACTTTCCTTCTGATTTCTGGGACCTGGAATTCCTGAAGACTGGTCTTGCTTGTAAAGACTGAGGCAAAGGCGGCATTCAGTACCTCAGCCTTTTCCATGTCCTGTGTCACCAAGGTCCCTGTCCCGTTCAGCAATGGGCCCACACTTTCCCTAGTCTTCCTTTTGTCACCTATGTATCTATAGAAGCCCTTGTTGTCCTCATCATCCTTTGCCAGATTCAATTCCAGGTAGGCTTTGGTTTTCCTCACTATATCGCTGCATGCCTGGAAAACATCTCTGTATTACTCCCAGGTTTCCTGTCCCTGCTTCTACCTTCTGTATACTTAATTTTTTTATGTGTGAGTTCTGCCAGGAGCTCCTTGTTCATCCATGCAGGCCTCCTGGCATTTTTCAAATACT